AGGCAGTTTTAACGTTGCTTGGATGACATCCAACCTTGGTCATCGCAAATTGTTCGAGTGGCGTGAGGAGATCGCGGTTGATAAGCTCAAAATTGGTCCGAACGAAGCTATTCTTCTCAGATACAGCTAGAGAATTGCCGAGGCAACGTTGAGTTTTATCATGTAGTAGCTTTGAATTATTTTTTTAAAAAACTTTTAGTTCCGTGTTTTTTAATTGTGTTCAAAAGAAATAAAATGCGGAAGGGCTGATTATCCACGACTAGCTACACACCTTTTGATAATTTTGTTCCTTTATCTACAAATGTTTGAAGTTCCTATATTTGCGAATTGAGTACTAAATATTTTTAAAAATTTGTTCCCTTGCAGTCTGAAATTTAATGCTGTCGAACAAAAATTCTTTCGGGTGTGTCGAAACTCGTAAACATCGACGGTGATTTGCGTCGTCTGTAGTTATTTAATTTGGTGTTTTCGATGACGCGGTGTTTTCTGTCTTCGACTCAATATCACCATGTCATGACCGATGTCTTATAGCATGTGTTGAAAAAATGAGCATTCGAAAGACGTTCTGTTTATGCAAACGATTCAAAGTGATAATCGTGACAGGTACACAAAATGGTGGAAGCAAAGAGAAGAGTTACTGAAGTGTTACCAAAGACTAGGTAAAACGAGTTCCACAGGTTTTAAGCAACGGAAGTACTAGGGTGATTTTAATATAAAGAACTACCTCAAATTTGTATTTTTTGTGCAATACGCTTCGTCAAGTTTACTTTTAGTGTTTGGCTTATAACATTTTAAAACTTCCCTTCAGATATCTTTTCATTTCTCTTTAGAGGTGGAGAATAAATGGGAGGCTTCTAGACATGATTTGATTAGAAAATAAGTAGAAGTAAATTCTGGTTTTGATACAGAGTTTCATAAATACACTATATTCATTTTTCGAGAACGGGTTTTGGATGCAAACGGCCATTTGTACGGTATTCAAATATTCAGAACTTCATGCTGTTCAGTGACACTTCATGAGGTAGAGACCTATTGGGTTTTAAACCTGATTCCACGTTATAGATGATTGTGAATTGCTACAAATTCCTCGAATGCATCTGGAACAAATGAAATGATCATAAAGAATGTGATGCTCAACGATTTTTTCCCAGAATAAGCCCCAGTTCAACATTTAAGTGCAAAGCTACGGTATGTTTAATTAAGTTGTGAGAAGGAAAGACTGTTGGACAAAAATGATTCTACTGTACCTGATTCAGAATCCCTTGTGTGTATTGTTGCTAATACTCTCATACCAATGCGTAAATGATTGCTGATATGCTAGTCAGCTAGTATTACGTGCTATTTTTGCTAAATTAAGCAGTAAATTCAATCGATTAATTGATGCTGTTAGGAAAATGTAATCTAAGTAGATTATCAGTAAAAATAAAGAAAAAAAATGCAGCAAAATTCTTAGCTTTACTCGCATCATATGAAGGGAATACGTGAAAATCAGAACTGTTCAAGAAAAGCAAACGTGCATTAAAATTTTGCGAACCGTTCATTTCAGCGACGCGTAAAGGAGCCGGTCTTTAGGCAATGGAAATGTCTGTAGGCAAAAACGTTCGAGAGGATAAGGAACTGACTGAATCATGCTGTGATGATGGTGACTCTGAGCACGGCAACCAAAAGAGATTTTTGCTATTTTTAGTTGACCATTGGTCCGCCAGACTCTCCCTGAAAACGACCGTATAAAAATGCTGTGACTTTCACCTGATGGTCGTACGACTCATGCTCTTTGCCAAGCTAGATTTCTCTTTGATGTTTCACAGCCTCTTCCTGCACCGTTCCAACGACTGCAACTGCAACATTGCTTAGCGTGCAAAACGCGTATTACTGTTGCTGCATCCTGAATGGAAACATTCGAATTAATTTTGTCTATCTTCCACTAGCGAAACAAAAACATAACCGATCGTATCTCCTATACCTGCAGTTTTGCACACTGACTTTGCGGGGTCTTTACAACATGAAGAATGACCTCACTTTACATAATGAACACAATCACGTTTCCGTGGCGTCCAATGCAGCGGTTCTCAATTAATAATTCCGGAAAATATTAGAAATGAAAACCACGCCGAATGTGGATCGATGAAAAGAAATCCAGGCGCTTCTGGTAGGAAATGATATGACAAAGATTGACTTTCTGGCACACCCCTTAGAATCAAACAGACATTGCCACCTGACAGACGACACTGGATCACGTATAAAACAGAAATGAGCCACCATACCGGGCAGAAAGACCAAGTGCTAGATAACACGTTATTCCGTATATCTCTATGCATATTATTCTCTGCACCGTGAATATTTTACATATTCGTTCC